TACAGTTTAGGGAAAGTGATTTATGGAGCATCTTATTTTGCTCTCACAGCCAAGAACCTCGGTGATATTTCCCAAGTTTAATGTTGTTTTATTAACTCTTTAATAATTTTTGGTTTCATATATTTTACTCCCCAAACCAGCCGACTCTAATAGAAGAAAATACCAAGTGTGCTAGCAACTGCTGTGCACAATAGGGTGCTGTTTCATTTATTACAACAGCCATTCACATAACATGTTCTAAAAGTAGTACATATCTTGGCAACACTAGATTAGACATATACTATTATTCTTCAAATAGTAGTTATTATAAAAAATAGTAATTAAAGCTCACATTCCTAAGTACTTCTAGGAAAAATAACTGAACCCCCAAGAGCAACATCAGCTTGTTGAAATTACCTCCATAGTTTAGTTTTGAAAGATTTCTATAAACAGTAATATTCAGACAAATGTAAAAAATTCAATTAATACAGAAGGTAACAATAATCTGATGTAGCCATGAGAGCCTAGTGAAATAAATGAAGTAAAGCTTGTGTAAAAATATATTTGCTCAACAACTGATAAAACTGAAACAAAGGCAGTAAATGTCAAGTTATCACAACAAGCCTGACTTCAGTCAATGGCATGTTTTGCTTTTTAGGTATGGGACTATTCTTAGCAATGGATTTAGGATCTACATGGCTGTATTAAAGCTCTGCATCTGGTATAGTTGCCTAGTCCTAGTTCTGCCACATTTGTAGGAAAAAAAGGAACAGGCAGAAATCTGCTACTCCTGCCATTTTTTTTGCAAAGCTATGCTAATGATACAGTAGCTGACAGTGGAAATACCAGAGCTTCTGGCAGGAAAAGATTACTTAATTTTCAGCAAGAGCTTAGACATCTGCAGAGTCTACTCAGACTGCTGCTAAAGATATCACAGGGAAGGCAGAGCTGTTTGCGTAGCTTCTGACAATGTGGGGTTGTGGGGTTTTTTAGAGGGAAAATCTTACTGTTCTTGTCATTGTTCATGATTTATCTATTGGGGAGGGTAGATTTAAAAAGTTTTGGTTATGAATAGAAGTTATTCCAAAAGAAAGAGTCATATGCTCATGAAAAAGAAATGTGCAGGTGTAGGCTCCTCTTCTGAGAGAAAGGTTTCTGTATCTTCTTTTTTATGCCACTGAAATAGGGACATGAAATTTAGAGAAATGTCATGTACTTGTCAGTCCCAAATAACTGTCCTTACCAGAACGCTGCTTGACTCCCTGTACTTTTTCAAAAGCTTTGTCTGTTTCATGTTAAGTTTATGGTTCTTCGCCTCTCGCTTAAGAACTTTCTCTATCTGTGGAGACACTTTCATCTTTGGTTTGAGACGCACCCGGTAGCTGTCAGGAACCAGGAACTGGAAGCAGTAAGGACATACCCTTTCTAATCCACGTTCATTAGCTACAGATAAATAAAAGTAAAAGAATGAAAAAATTATTTTTATAAGCAAAGATTCATAGAGTATGTTTCAGTTTCAACAATACCTAGGTACGTGTTTTTATGTTTAAGATACAACTAGGATTCCAGAGGAGGCTGGGCACCAGTATGTCCTCAGCTAAGCACAATTCAGGGTAATTTTATGCTTATGGTGTAAGTTTACACAACATGTAACTGCAGATTTTACTGAAAAATGGAATTCCTCTCTGTAAATCTTTTAACAACGGAGGCTCACAATTCTGCAAGGAGCTCCCTGCATGCACACTCTTGCCAGATCAGGGACACCAAAGCCTTGTAAAGCTCTTTGCCCATTTTAAGTGCGAGAAAACGACCGCACCTCAGCCTGGGATAAAGGAATGCTTTGAGATAATTTTCAGACCCAGTAAGAGGCTCGTGCATCTGCTTTATCAGCTCCTGCTACCAGAGCCGGAGTCGAGCCCCTCTCCCTACACCGCTGAGGAACACCTGGCCCCTGCTCTCCGGCAAGCTCGACGTTCCTGGCGGTAGCCAGGAGCACAGCGCGGCACAGCCCTCCGGGTGCAGTGCGAAAGGAAAGGGGATAATGGAGGAAATGGGAAAGGCGGCATTCCCACGCTCCTGCCTCTCGGCAACCTCTGCGCTGCCCTCCCACCGCAGGAGCCTCTGCTGGAGGGGCGCCCAGCTCCGAAGCCCCTCTCCTCCGGCCCCGGTACCACCGTGTGTCCGGGGACCCTCACTCGCCTCGGGAGCTGCGGAGCGTCCACCTGCGGGAGAGAAGGGAAAGCGTCACGGCACCGCCACCGGGCGGGGACACCCCGCGCGTCACCACCGCGCTCTCTCTCTCCCACCACCCCCTCCCTCCCTCCCGCCCGCCCCCACCGCCACCCCCACCCCCGGCGCGGCTCCTTACAGCAGGAACCGCGCCTGTCCCGGGCAAGCTCCCGCCAGCTGCGCCGCCGCCGCCGCCAGCAGC